TGTGTGTGTGTGTGTGTGTGTGTGTGTGTGTGTGTGTGTGTGTGTGTGTGTGTGTGTGTGTATGTGTGTGTGTATGTGTGTGTGTGTGTGTGTGTGTATGTGTGTGTGTGTGTGTGTGTGTGTGGTGTGTGTGTGTGTGTGTGTGTGTGTGTGTGTGTGTGTGTGTGTGTGTGTGTGTGTGTGTGTGTGTTGCTGCTCACGTATAGCTATGATGTCTGAGGTTGCCTCTGTTGTACATTTTTTCAACTCGTCACTCTAATTTCATAACCCATCTGTTTTTGTAGACCACACAGTCTACAGACTATGTTATTAACTATGTTTGTTGGTTACCTGCAGCAGGGGAAAAGAGGGGAGCATTTAGGATTACTGGTATTGTTGGGGATGTGGGGTGAGCCAAGAGTCTGGGTCCACCAAGAGCACAGCTCAGGGAGTATTTCTGGTGCAGGTTGGTGATCACTATACTATCTACCAGCCCCTCTGTATCTAATTAAAGTATTAAATAACGCTCTATGTATTCTTCAAATGTTTCCTTTCCATTTTCAGTCCGCAATGAATCAGATTTACTGGGAAATTTCTTGTATTCCTCAAGAATGTTGTCTGGTTCAACGACCTTTTTTCCAGTTAGATGAGCGAGTAAGTCGGGAGAGAGAGAGAGAGAGAGAGAGAGAGAGAGAGAGAGAGAGAGGGGGGGGGAGGAGGGAGGGAGAAGAGGAGAGTTAGGTTTCGTAGCACTTACCTCCATTAACTTCACAAGTTAGGGACATGGACTCTCCCTCATTATAAGGACCCACCATAGTCCACACCTGTGGTCCTTCCTCCTGTACTAGGATGGTAGGGTCTTGTGGAGGAACTGTAAAATTAGAGAAACAATAAAATTTAGAGTAGTTTCATATGTTCAATACCAATAAGCACTGCACGTGGGTCATTAATGTTGTACTCCACCTGTACACTACTAAGAACTCAATAATACTTAAAAAACTAATTAAAATATGTGTCTGTGTTGGTTTTTTGTTCGTGGGCCTGAGTATGTACAGTATGATATATATATATATATATATATATATATATATATATATATATATATATATATATATATATATATATATATATATATATATATATATATATATATATATATTATATATATATGTCGTGCCGAATAGGCAGAACTTGCGATCTTGGTTTAAATATCAACGCTCATCTTGCCATATAGGACAAGTGAAAATTTGTGTATGCAATAATTTCGCCAAAATCATTCTGAACCTTACGAAAAAAATATATTTGATTGTGTTTGTTTAGTACTAAATTACTGTAAACGTATTTAAAATATATTTAGTTGGGTGAGGCTAAAATAAATTGCTCTTGTTATAATAAGGTTAGGTAAGTTTTCTAAGATTCTTTTGGTGAAAAATTAAAAATTTTTACATTAAAATTAATGAAAAAATATATCTTAAAACGTATAAGAGAAAATTTCAGAAAGGACTTAATTTTAAATGAGTTCTTGCTAATTGACCAGTTTTACATATTCGGCACGACATATATATATATATATATATATATATATATATATATATATATATATATATATATATATATATATATATATATATATATATATATATATAGATAGATAGATAGATATTAAAAGATGGGGTTGTAGGGGAAGTGGAATATTCTAATGGCTTCAGGAAAAAATCCAAATATTTTTCCTCGAAGCCTTTTTTATCCACTTCTCCGTGACTATGGGTCCCACAATTTGCACTAAAGGTAGGCAAACTGAAAAAGACATAGAATCATTCAGACAAGCTTAAAAAAGTTACAAGCTTGTATTAATTTTTGAGATAAAAAAATTGGAAGAATTACTTTTACGTAAGAGTCGAGCGATTAAATCGTTAAAAATGGAATTGATTCGTTGAGTGAGTAAGCAAGTGCTGTCGCTCCAGTGCTCTATCTGTACCAGTGATCAAGCGATGGATTATTGCAGATGTTATGTACTTCTAGTTAAGTATCAACTTGGTTTTTCCATCTCATTTAAACATTTATTAGACTACTTTGTGTGTCTTCTCTTCTACTTTCCTAAGAAACATTTTATTAAAGCAACTCACTGATGACTGTTAGGTTGGTTCTGGCGTTCCTGGTGGGGCTTTTCTTGAAGTCGACGCGGCATCGGTAGAGTCCCTCGTCACTGCCTCGAACATTGTCCACAACCAGTGAAGCTGGCGAAGACTGAAGGTCGAAGTGACCCCGACCACCCAAGGTCTTCTCGTCTGCCCAGTTCCTTGCTTCAAGAAGATTATGCTTGCGAGAGTCGTAGCTGCGAGGAAAGAAGGACGTACGGTTTTATATATATATATATATATATATATATATATATATATATATATATATATATATATATATATATATATATATATTTATGTCGTGCCGAATAGGCAGAACTTGCGATCTTGGCTTAAATAGCAACGCTCATCTTGCCATATAGGACAAGCGAAAATTTGTGTATGCAATAATTTCGCCAAAATCATTCTTAACCTAACGAAAAAAATATATTTCACTGTGTTTGTTTAGTATTAAATTATTGTAAACAAATCTAAAATATATTTAGTTGGGTTAGGCTAAAATAAATTGTTCTTGTTATAATAAGGTTAGGTAAGTTTTCTAAGATTCTATTGGTGCAAAATTATAAATTTTTGCATCAACAATAATAAAAAATATATATCTTTAAACGTATAAGAGAAAATTTTAGAAAGGACTTAATTTTAAATGAGTTATTGCTAATTGGCCAGTTTTACATATTCCGCACGACATATATATATATATATATATATATATATATATATATATATATATATATATATATATATATATATATATATATATATATGTATATATATATATATATATATATATATATTATATATATATATATATATATATATATATATATATATATTATATATATATATATATATATATATATATGAATATATATTAAAATGCTGACCGTCTCCCACTGAGGCAGGGTGACCCGATAAAGAAACACTTTCATCATCATTCACACTATCACTGTCTTGCCAGAGGCGCATTGATACGACAGTTTGGATATGTCCCTTTAAACAGCAAATATCCCCCAAACCCTCCTTTAAAGTGCAGGCATTTTACTTCACACCTCGAGGACCCAAGTCTGGCTAACCAGTTTTCCTGAATCCCTTCACAAAATATTAGCCTGCTCACACTCCAACAACTCGTTAAATTCCAAAAACTATTTTTCTTCATTGACTCCTATCTAATACGCTCACACATGACTGCTGTATGTCCAAGCTTCTTGCACACAAAACCTTCTTTAGCCCCTCCTTCCAACCTTTCCTAGGGCGACTCCTACCCCGCCTTCCCTCCATTATAGACTTATACACCACTAAAGTCATCCTATATTGCTCCTTCCTCTCTAAATGACCTAACCACCTCAACAGCTCCTCCTCTACCCTGTGGATAATATTTTTAGTAACTCTAAACCTCCTCCTAATTTCCACACTACGAATTCTCTGCATAATATTTACGCCACACATTGCCCTCAGACACGGCATTCCTACTACCTCGAGCCTCCTCGCTGAAACATTCACAACCCATGCTTCACACCATTTTAATAGTGTTGATACCATTTTACTTTCATACATTCCCTTCTTTGCTTCCAAAGGTAACGTTCTTTATCTCTACAGTTACCTCAATGCACTACCCACCTTTTTACCTTCATCAATTCTATGGTTTACCTCATCTTTCATATACTCATCCGCCGACACGTCCACTCTCAAATATATAAACACATTTATTTCCATACTCCCTCCTTCCAATCTGATATTCATTTCTTCCTTACCTAACTCGTTTGATATCCTCATCTCCTTACTCTTATCTATGTTCAATTTCAACTTTCTACCTTTACACACCCTCCCAAAGTCGTTCACTAACCTTTAAAATATCTCTAGAATCTCCCAAAAGCACAGTATCATCAGCAGAAAGTAACTGTATCACCTACCAATATATATATGATTCCGCATATTATAATCCCACCCCTTCCCCCGACATCCGAGCATTTACTTCTTTTACAATTCCATATGTAAATATGTTAAGCAACCATGCTGACATCAAGCATCCATGTCTAAGACCTACTTTTACTGGAAAATAATCTCCCTCACTCCAACAGACCTTCACTATGCTCATAAAAAATTATTTACAGGATTTAGTAGCTCATTATTTTATACACTTGTATCATCTACCACGATATTTCCTTATTCATCCCATCATATACCTTTTCTAAATCCATAAAAGCAACGAAAACTTCCCTCTCTTTGTCTAAATATTGTTCACTTATATGCATCAAAGTTAACACTTGATCTACACATCCCTTAATTCAAAAACCTCCTTGTTCGTCTGCGATCCTCCTCTCCGTCTTATCCTTAATTCTTTCAATAATAACCCTACCATACACTTTACCTGGTATACTCAGTAGGCTCATTCCTCTATAATTTTTACACCCCTTTTGTCCCGTTCTCTGTATATAAAGGAGCTATCTAAGCACGCTCTCTGCCAGTCCCTAGGTATATTTCCCTCTTTCATACATTTATTGAAAAAAAAATACCAACCACTCCAAAACTAAATCCCCCCCTGCTTTTAACATTTCTGCCATGACCCCATCATTTCCAGCTGGTTTACCTCCTTTCTGTCTACCACACAGTCTCACGCACTTTCCCCACACTCATATCTGGCTCTTCCTCACTCCTAAAGATGTTCGACTATAATATATTTTACATACATATATATATATATAAAATATATATATATATATATATATATATATATATATATATATATATATATATATATATATATATATATATATATATGGTAGTAGGATGGTAGACAGCAACCACCCAGGGAGGTACTACCGTCCTGCCAAGTGAGTGTAAAACGAAAGCCTGTAATTGTTTTACATGATGGTAGGATTGCTGGTGTCTTTTGTCTGTCTCATAAATATGCAAGATTACAGGCATGTCTTGCTACTTCTACTTACACTTAGGTCACACTACACATACATGTACACGTTTATTTATACACACTCATCTGAGTTTTCTTTGATTTTATCTTAATAGTTCTTGGTCTTATTACTTTTCCTTTTATATCCATGTGGAAGTGGAATAAGAATCTTTCCTCCGTTATCCATGCGTGTTGTAAAAGTCAACTAAAATGCCGGGAACAATGGGCTAGTAACCCCTTTTCCTGTAAAGATTACTAAAAAGAATAATAAGAAGAAAATTGTCAAAGTGGGAAGTCTGAATGTGCGTGGATGTTGTGCAGATGATAAGAAAGAGATGATTGTGGATGTTATGAATGAGAAGAAACTGGATGTCCTGGCTTTAAGTGAAACAAAGCTGAAGGGGGTAGGAGAGTTTCAATGGAGAGGAATAAATGGGATTAGGTCAGGGGTTTCAAATAGAGTTAGAGCTAAAGAAGGAGTAGCAATAATGTTGAAGGATAAGCTATGGCAGGAAAAGAGGGACTACAAATGTATAAATTCAAGGATTATGTGGAGTAAAATAAAGATTGGATGTGAAAAGTGGGTTATAGTAAGCGTGTATGCACCTGGAGAAGAGAGAAGTGTAGAGGAGAGAGAGAGATTCTGGGAAATGTTGAGTGAATGCGTGGGGAGTTTTGAATCAAGTGTGAGAGTAATGGTGGTTGGGAATTTCAATGCTAAAGTGGGTAAAAATGTTATGGAGGGAGTAGTAGGTAAATTTGGGGTGCCAGGGGTAAATGTAAATGGGGAGCCTTTAATTGAGCTATGTGTAGAAAGAAATTTTGTAATAAGTAATACATATTTTATGAAAAAGAGGATAAATAAATATACAAGGTATGATGTAGCACGTAATGAAAGTAGTTTGTTAGATTATGTATTGGTGGATAAAAGGTTGATGGGTAGGCTCCAGGATGTACATGTTTATAGAGGGGCAACTGATATATTGGATCATTATTTAGTTGTAGCTACAGTTAGAGTAAGAGGTAGATGGGAAAAGAGGAAGGTGGCAACAACAAGTAAGAGGGAGGTGAAAGTGTATAAACTAAGGGAGGAGGAAGTTCGGGCGAGATATAAGCGACTATTGGCAGAAAGGTGGGCTAGTGCAAAGATGAGTAGTGGGGGGGTTGAAGAGGGTTGGAATAGTTTTAAAAATGCAGTATTAGAATGTGGGGCAGAAGTTTGTGGTTATAGGAGGGTGGGGGCAGGAGGAAAAGAGGAGTGATTGGTGGGAATGATGAAGTAAAAGCTGTGATAAAAGAGAAAAAGGTAGCTTACGAGAGGTTTTTACAAAGCAGAAGTGTTATAAGAAGAGCAGAGTATATGGAGAGTAAAAGAAAGGTGAAGGAGAGTGGTGCGAGAGTGCAAAAAGGAGAGCAGATGAAAGAGTGGGAGAGGCACCGTCAAGAAATTTTAATGAAAATAAGAAAAAATTTTGGAGTGAGTTAAACAAGTTAAGAAAGCCTAGGGAAAGTATGGATTTGTCAGTTATAAACAGAGTAGGGAAGTTAGTAGATGGGGAGAGGGAGGTATTAGGTAGATGGCGAGAATATTTTGAGGAACTTTTAAATGTTGAGGAAGAAAGGGAGGTAGTAATTTCATGCACTGGCCAGGGAGGTATACCATCTTTTAGGAGTGAAGAAGAGCAGAATGTAAGTGTGGTGGAGGTACGTGAGGCATTACGTAGAATGAAAGGGGGTAAAGCAGCTGGAACTGATGGGATCATGACAGAAATGTTAAAAGCAGGGGGGGATATAGTGTTGGAGTGGTTGGTACTTTTGTTTAATAAATGTATGAAAGAGGGGAAGGTACCTAGGGATTGGCGGAGAGCATGTATAGTCCCATTATATAAAGGGAAAGGGGACAAAAGAGATTGTAAAAATTATAAAGGAATAAGTTTACTGAGTATACCAGGAAAAGTATACGGTAGAGTTATAATTGAAAGAATTAGAGGTAAGACAGAATGTAGGATTGCGGATGAGCAAGGAGGCTTCAGAGTGGGTAGGGGATGTGTAGATCAAGTGTTTACATTGAAGCATATATGTGAACAGTATTTAGATAAAGGTAGGGAAGCTTTTATTGCATTTATGGATTTAGAAAAGGCATATGATAGGTGGATAGAGGAGCAATGTGGCAGATGTTGCAAGTATATGGAATAGGTGGAAAGTTACTAAATGCTGTAAAGAGCTTTTATGAGGATAGTGAGGCTCAGGTTAGGGTATGTAGAAGAGAGGGAGAATACTTCCCGGTAAAAGTAGGTCTTACACAGGGATGTGTAATGTCACCATGGTTGTTTAATATATTTATAGATGGGGTTGTAAAAGAAGTAAATGCTAGGGTGCTCGGGAGAGGGGTGGGATTAAATTATGGGGAATCAAATTCAAAATGGGAATTGACACAGTTACTTTTTACTGATGATACTGTGCTTATGGGAGATTCTAAAGAAAAATTGCAAAGGTTAGTGGATGAGTTTGAGAATGTGTTTAAAGGTAGAAAGTTGAAAGTGAACATAGAAAAGAGTAAGGTGATGAGGGTATCAAATGATTTAGATAAAGAAAAATTGGATATCAAATTGGGGAGGAGGAGTATGGAAGAAGTGAACGTTTTCAGATACTTGGGAGTTGACGTGTCGGCGGATGGGTTTATGAAGGATGAGGTTAATCATAGAATTGATGAGGAAAAAAACGTGAGTGGTGCGTTGAGGTATATGTGGAGTCAAAAAACGTTATCTATGGAGGCAAAGAAGGGAATGTATGAAAGTATAGTAGTACCAACACTCTTATATGGATGTGAAGCTTGGGCGGTAAATGCAGCAGCGAGGAGACGGTTGGAGGCAGTGGAGATGTCCTGTCTAAGGGCAATGTGTGGTGTAAATATTATGCAGAAAATTCGGAGTGTGGAAATTAGGAGAAGGTGTGGAGTTAATAAAAGCATTAGTCAGAGGGCAGAAGAGGAGTTGTTGAGGTGGTTTGGTCATTTAGAGAGAATGGATCAAAGTAGAATGACATGGAAAGCATATAAATCTATAGGGAAAGGAAGGAGGGGTAGGGGTAGTCCTCGAAAGGGTTGGAAAGAGGGGGTAAAGGAGGTTTTGTGGGCCAGGGGCTTGGACTTCCAGCAAGCGTGCATGAGCGTGTTAGATAGGAGTGAATGGAGACGAATGATACTTGGGACCTGACGATCTGTTGGAGTGTGAGCAAGGTAATATTTAGTGAAGGGATTCAGGGAAACCGGTTATGTTCATATAGTCGGACTTGAGTCCTGGAAATGGGAAGTACAATGCCTGCACTTTAAAGGATGGGTTTGGGATATTGGCAGTTTGGAGGGATATGTTGTGTATCTTTATATGTGTATGCTTCTAAACTGTTGTATTCTGAGCACCTCTGCAAAAGCAGTGATAATGTGTGAGTGTGGTGAAAGTGTTGAATGATGATGAAAGTATTTTCTTTTTGGGGATTTTCTTTCTTTTTTGGGTCACCCTGCCTCGGTGGGAGACGGCCGACTTGTTGAATATATATATATATATATATATATATATATATATATATATATATATATATATATATATATATATATATATATATATATATATATATATATATATATATATATATATATGAAAAATCGCTCACCATGATCCGGAGTCATTTCTGGAGCATTATATAATACTAGACAATATATATTGTCTACTGTCAGTATTATTATCATTATTATTTTTCACTCGGACATTGATTGTATCCCATTACCTCAGTGTTGTAAGAAATTGCAAGTCTTTCCCACCTGCTGTAAGATATAAATCTTTAAGTTCAATCATCTCTCTCTCTCTCTCTCTCTCTCTCTGTATTTTTCTCTCTCTCCTTCCCTCCCTTCCCTCTCAGAAAAAGATATCTCAGTTTGTCCAAGAGCATACCAAATACCATTGAAACAAAATATATAATACGTCTCTCGAGTTACAGTTTTGCAGCTCACCTGTATGTATGTATGTATGTATGTATATATATATATATATATATATATATATATATATATATATATATATATATATATATATATATATATATATATACATACATATTCATACAAGTAGTAAGACCATGTAAGAAAATCAGTGTTGTACTAGTGAGCTATGAAACTTACCTTAAGAAGATTTTACAGACCGCACTTTTGACTAGTCTGTATCAGTGGTACCAACTGAGACACTACTGGCTCTTCCCTAAGTCCCACATAAGTTCATGGTACATCTATTTTCTTATCCGTCAAGGGCGTATAATCAATAAACTCAAGATAAATGGTGGTACATATAAAGGCCAGCATTATTAATAAGGTAAAGTCGTATGTCCTGTCACTGGCATTGTTCTGGGGACCCTGTCGTTGTACCGTCTTCGGTAATGATCTGGCCGATACCCTTGCACTGTTGACCTAAGAGTTTAAATGGATTGTTTGTGTTGAAGTGTGGTGTTGTCCCCCGTTGGGCCCATTTTTCTCGTATTGCTGGTGTGGGGGGGGGGGGGTAGTTTGTTGCCTCCAGATGGATGCAGTCACTATGTCCATCATGTTGCATGTGTAAGGATGTTGGATTGCCTCTTGGCGTACTCCTGTTCACCTTGTTGCAAGAATTGGAGCGCGAGGTTGCCTCCTGATGAACCTTGGGTTATCGCAGCGTTGTCTATAGCGCAGCTGTGATCATCGTGGTGTATAAGGAAGAGTAAGAGGGCAGGGATGGCCTCATTCCAGACTACGATTCATGATTACGAAAGGCCACAGATAAATTACTCTCTCCAGCATAAGTTGTTACCTACCTATATATAGGAGCTCCGACGCCATCCTTATACCAGAGAACAAGAACCACACGGTCGCTGGAGTCTGCTGTGAGCACATCACAAGGCATCTCTGCTCGACCTCCCTTCACTACCTCAACCACGAACAACGGTCCAG